CCACATACATTCCCCCGTTGTTTCCGAAGAACGTGAATACTTCTTGTAAGATATCGATGTCACTGCCTTGTTGCGGCTGAGAAAACCAATTTCTCCAGTCGCTGAGCCTTTAGATGAGACCACTCGGGAAATAGGTCCGGGTTATGTTGCTTAACACATATTCTGGACAATTGCATGCCCTCATTTCGCTGTACATCAATCCGGCTTGTTGACGTTTCTGTGATGAGATACTCCTGACGCGCGACTACTTCATCCGCCCATGACCTATTACGAGCTCTCACACGCACCTGACGGAACCTCCCCATTACCCAGATGCAATATACTTCGTGGAATGATTGAAATTCATACTGAAATTAAAAACCAAAAGATCGCTTTCCCATCTTTGTCGAACTGGACATCCACTACTCCTTCCCTAACCCCCTTTCTTCACACAACATAAACCAAAGCGGTCCCCCCAATCCTCCCTTCCCCTCTTGACCCCGACAATTCGAGCAACATCACCCGTTCCTTGTCACTACAACAATTAAGTACTGAACAAACCCCCCCCCCCCCCTCGCCTTTCAAATAAACCGCAACAAACCACCTCTCTCCTCGCCCAGCGCCAACGTTGAAACTGAAAACGAAACAATCAAACAAACACCTTTCCCCCTTCTTCCAAATAAACCCCACAAACACACGAACAAACCACCTCTCCCCTACCCTGTGTTTTCCAAAACAAAAAAATCCGCCTACAAAACGCAGCGCTATTGGGTGAAATAGCTGTGAACGCCATGCAACGGTCACGACCCGATCCTAAACTCCACCTCCCCCGCCCCCTCTCCTCCTTCCTGCCAGCTGTTACTTGAATGGCAATGAAATATTACTTGGATGGGTTCGGGTTGTTAGCCTTGACATCCAAAAATCAGAGTAATTGCACTCAAATGCGCAAATATTGTATTTACAGACGTTGGTTATTTAGATTTTCGAAATCAAAAAACACTCAGTTTTGTTTGAATGGAATCACTCTGGCTGTTTACTCAGCTCAGCGACGAATACTTGCACAGGTGAAAGGACGATACCTGGACTTTTAATTTCTTGCGCAACTCCATTATCACTTCCATTTGTACCTGTGTATTTTATAACAGCAACATAGGTGCATTACACGACAGAAATCTCTATAACCGATGTTTACTGCCCTCAATGCGTATACAGTGGGTACATCTTATACATGCTGCTGCGTCATCTGCATAACACGCCGACAACCTGACGACAACATCATTTCTGTATCCCCGCTGTGGACATTACAGAAGTAACACAGCTGCAATACTTGTATGCTGAAGTTTCTATGTTTAAGTGGATCCCTGTTTCGCCCCTCTTTGTAGCAAACTGTTTTTCGACTATTTCTAACTATCCCACTACTTTTTTCTTTTTTTTTTTTGTAATCAAATCCCGGAGAAAAATGTAAATACAAGTATCAAAATTGCCCAAAGTAC